TCTACAATCAATAGTGTAATCTGCTACCTTGGGAAACTAGAAAAAGAAGTGGTATATCTGGGGAAATTCCTTGATGGTCCAGTGGTTAGCACTCCATGCTTCCACTGTAGGAGGCATGGGTTCGATCCCTGGTTGGGGAACTAAGAACCCGCATGCCTGGGATCCGGCACAGGCAAGTCTAGAGGACCCAAGTAAGCTGCGTGAGGAGAAGGCCCCTGTCATCCATCAAATTGCACCAGAGCCCCTCCCTCAGTTCATACCTGTGTCCACGTGGGGGTAGGTGGTCCTTTATGACTAGCTGTTGGAAGAGTAAAAATGTTGAAGTTGGTTCAGGGATACGTCAGCTTTGGTACAACGGACCATAGGTTCATTACACTCAAAGGTGGACCAGAAAGATATCAGTGAAAGAGGAAACCCTCCCAATGGACAGAATTTCTGATAGAGCAGAATCCACTTTGTGTGGAAAGAAAAGTGGCCTGAAATTAGAATACATGTGGGCTCTGACAGTGGTGACCAATCAGTTGGCTGATTGTTCAGGACTCTGGAAAAGGAAACATCAGGAATAAAAAGATCTGGAAACAGCCACATAGCACAGGGAGATCAGCTTGGTGCTTTGTGACCTCCTGGAGGGGTGGGATAGGGAGGATGGGAGGGAGGGAGACGCAAGAGGGAAGAGATACGGGAACATATGTAGATGTATAACTTATTCACTTTGTTATAAAGCAGAAACTAACACACCATTGTAAAGCAACTGTACTCCAATAAAAATGTAAAAAAAAAAAGATCTAGAAAAAAGGTACATAGATGGATTTATGGCAATGGGTAGGAAGTGTAAGGAATTCATAATAACACCTATCAGAGCATTTCTATCATATAAGAGCTGCCAAACAACTAGGAAGATAGAATGACTTGGCCAGTTGATGCCAATCTACCGCTGTCATTGCCACCCCAGGGCTGGCACAATACGCACATGAATGGAGTAGTCATTGGGCAGAGATGGAGGCTGTGCGTGGGTCCAGCGGCTCGGACTCCCATTCACGAAGGGTGATATAGCTACTGTGGCCACCAAATGGGAACAGCACCATCCCCCAAGGAGGCCAACAGGCCTCCTGGTGTCAAGTAGTCTAACTGGATCCCCTCCACCCTGGAAAGATGAGCGACTCATCTTGACTGGACTTAACATATTTTGGTCAAGGGTTTGCCTCTCTTGCTTGTGGAGCTTCAGCCAGGACCACAGCTGAGTATTTACTGACATAAGATCCCACATAATATTCCATTGGACCGAGGCACCCACTTTATAGGAAAGGAAGTGCAACAGTGGGAATTCAGGTCCAGAGTCTACTGGTCCAATAACACACAGAAGCTTTTGACCTGATGGAGCAGTGGAAAAGCCTGCTGGAGATGCTGCTGAGGGGCCAGCTTGCGCATCACAACCAGCGAGGATGACTTGCCACCATCCAGGATGCAGCACACACTCAAAACTGATGGCTATTATATGGTGTGGTGTCACGTGAGTCCAGCAAATCAAGGGCAGAAGTCATTCTTACCACAGCTGCCAGGCATTTACCCTTTAATTTGTGCTGCACGTCCCCACAACTCTGGCCTCTGTGCATTTAGAGATCTTGGCTCCTAGAGGGGGAATGTTCCCCTCAGTAGGCACAGCGAGAGTCCCATTAAATGTCAAACTATGCACGCCACCCAGTTACACTGGGTTCCTCGTGCCGAGAGGGCGGCAGTCCAGGGAAGGTGCCACCACCATGAGTAACTGCTCCTGGACATCAGGAGGATGCAGAGCTGTGGGCAGAACATGGGGACAGTATGCTTGGCACCCAGGTGACACACTTGAACATCTCTTGGGGCTCCTGTAGTCAATTTTGAGGGCAGAGAGATGTGTGCAGCAGCCAGAGCCTGAGAGGGGCATGGTGATTAGGGGCCCAGACTCCTCAGGGATGAGGATCTGGGTCATCCCACTAGGCAAGTCACATGTCAGCAGAGGTGCTGAGGGTGAGGGGACTCCAGACTGCGTGGTTGGGATGAGCACTACTTGTGGTCTCGAGACCAGCTGCTGTGACAGAGGCTGTAGTTCATCCCTCTAGATTTCCTTTTATAAGTTTCCCCCAGGAAGAAAGATCCATCAGAATCCTGAATTAGCCAGTAGATCTAAGTGGTATAAGGTGTGGGGTGTAGTGGACACCGTGGGGCCCTGCTCAGATCTCCCCTCTGGCCTGTCCCTCAGAACTGAAGTCATCCCCCAGGTGCTGGCAATCTCGACAGCTAATAGTTTGCAACTGAATTCCCTCTCCCAGAGATTGATTGCCCTTGGCTGAGGACAGCTACCTTGCTCAAGGTCATACCCCCTTCCTAGGGACAGCTCATGTCCAGTGACTGTCAATCAATGACAAGTTTTAAAGGCCCAGCTTCCTCGTCACAATTTGGGTCATCTGCAGGGTCACCCTTGCTCCAGAGCTCCCCATGAGATCAGCTGAGGCCTCTGTTAGTGACCATATCATAGCCCAATTTCTCCCTCTGCCCAGTCTTGGTTTCTTTCCCTCTCACCAGTGGGATCCAGAGAACTCAAACTTCCTGTACACAAACCTAAGACTCAAAGAGCCTGCTTCCCGTGGAAACCAACCTGCAACAATTTAAGGAGTTGGACCTATGCCATCCTCAATCTTCTCATCTTAGACGTAACTAAGATGCCTTTAAGGAAAAAAAAATTCCTTTACTGTCCTCTGCTCATTTGGGGCATTAGCTCCCTTGATAGCAATACAACCTTGAGACTGTCATATTTTTATCTTTGGCCTGATGCTCTGCTTTTCACCTGTTAACATTTATCATTAGAAAGCAAGAGTTTATCAATGAGCTCCCTACACAGTTTCTTTGGTATACTTCCTGCTTCTTTATTGGGACCATTTGTAATAGCCTAGTGAAAACTACTTTCTGAGTTCTTCATGAGAGATGAGTTTACTCATCTGCAAAAAGGTGTTTTTAAATTTTCATTGAACTTTTTGTGTTCTACTTGTGTAAAGACTGGGATACATGTCTGACCCAGCCAGACATGTATGATTTACTTCTCTAAAAATTCAAATGTCAATCTAGGTCTGCTCTAGTTGTTCCCCTGCCCCCAATTTACCCTCCATCTCCCAGAATACATGCTGACTGAGAAGCAAAACTAGTAGTCCATTGAGAGGTTCTTCCTTAGCAGTGAATGGGATACAGAAATGTTCTGGAGCCCCTTCCTGTGTGTAGGACAGACTGTGTCTTTAAGGCAACCCTTTAAGTCCTGGGCTACAGCCTCCACAGTTGACCCCATGGTGTCTGGGCAGCTTGATTCCTGGGCTTCAGCCTGGGTTCCTGGTTTTCACTTCTATCCTCTGCTGGGCCGGGAGCCAAGACTGAACCCAGTCCAGTTGGCCAAGGCTCTGACCCTTTCTCCTAGTTCCTGCCAACTTTCTTTGCTTCTGTTTTTTCTACCTTGATCCATATGTAGATCCTTGGGCCGAGACTCTGGTCATCAGGATGCCAGGAACTCTCATTTCCCAGAATTCCACACTCCTCCCTTTGCCCTCAGATCGGGCCCCTCACGCTGTCGCTGGTCCAAGCTGCACCTGTATCCCCTACAACTGCACCTGAATCCACACTAAGACCTTGAACCTGAACTGTTAGCATTTGCAGTCTGGGTGAGTTCCCCTGCCCTGTGCCAGCCGCCTCAGCAAAATCCTTTCTCACAGTAAATGCCCACATACCCATCACTTCAGCTAGTACTGCTGCTTTGACAAATTAGTCCCTGTTAATGAGAATTAAACCCAGAGTAGTAGTTTTCCTGATTGGATTAACAATCCTCTGAAGGGTAAAACTGCTGGCAAAGCAAGTGAAAAATTTTCCAAAATTTCAGCATTTATTTTAATGGGACTTTGTATGAAGACTTAATTTAGTTGTGACCAAAATATCTTGCCTGTTTGCTAGTTTTGTTGCCTATTATCAAAACATTTGTCCAGGCCTCCATCTCAGCAGATAGATTTCATTATCTTCCCACAGCTATATTATTTAACTTTTCTCTAACTTCATATTTGTAGGTGTTCAAATGGGTAGGTATTTTATTTCAAAACAAGAAAGGTTTAATTTATAACGGAGAACAAGTAGTATTAACGCATACGCAAGCCACAACAAATAGTTTCCTGGGATCATAAAATAGAGAACTACTGAAATGCCAGACATTCTGGCATCAACTATATACCAGAGGAGGGGAAATTAAGTATCAAGAACCAAGATGTTCTAAGAATTAGAAGGTAGACAGTGGCTTGTAATAAAGCAATAATAAAATGACTAAGGTTATAGTATAACTCATCTAATAACTAAAACACTAGTTTATCTTTCCAAGGACAGATAAGTAGCTCAAAGTGTGTTATAGATATTTTTTTACAACTTCCTAAGCTAAGATCTTACATTTATAAATATTTACTCAAAGTCATTAGTTAGCTTAATCTCTTAAGCCAATCATACTTTGCTTGGGCCAATATTAAATTCTGTTTTTATTCTGTAGCCCAAGAATACATTGTGGCCCCGATAATCCACAGTAGATAATGTACACACAAATCAAGAATCATTTGCATGTGATGAAGCCAGAGAACAGTTTAAATAGCACAATTTACCACCAGCCAAAGGCAAGCCTATCCTTTAGAGCAGTACCTTTCCTGAGCCCAATAAATGGCTGCACTGTTTTCCTTCAAACCAGTATTCAGTTAAGTGAAAATCAATGGCTAGGATGACCTGCTGGTGATTCCACCTTATCATGCGAGAGCAATGACTTGAATTTAAGGAATAATATATGAAGCATGTATTATATATATATAAACTGAAAGCAATATGTCTTGCCTTCAGTTTAATGGATGTCCACCAGTGCAAGGCAAATGGTGGATGGAAAGAAGTTTCAGAATCTTTGATTCAACCTACGCTCCTCTAGGTCTGCTCTTGCGAATGAAAAACCAAAACTCACATTAAAATCATCTTTAGAATTCTATAATTGAGCTAGAGATTTGGAAATAGAACTATCTAGACCAACTGGGGGTAAGAGGAGAGACAGTGCTGGCCTCTACCTCAAGGTTTCACAAAACAGAAGCAGGGAACCCAGCAAGTCAACTCAATCTCCCTACACATGCTTGCGGGAGAAACCGACTTCAATAGAGGCTGGTCTTTTTCATGATCCGAAGAAACTCTTCCTCGTTCACTTCACCGTCTCCATCCCGATCTGCTTCGTCAATCATTTCCTGCAGCTCCTCATCAGTGAGGTTTTCCCCCAACTCGGTGGCCACGCGCTTTAGGTTTTTGAAGGAGATCTTCCCGGTTTCATCATCATCAAAGAGCCTGAAAGCCTTCAGGATTTCTTCCTTGGTGTCTTTCTCGGCCATCTTCTGAGTCATCACGGCCAAGAAGTCATTGAAGCTGACTTTCCCTGTGCTTTCCTTGTCCACCTCGGCGATTATCCTCTTCATCTCCTCCTTCCTGGGTTCAAAGCCCAGCGCCCTCAGGGCCACCTTCAGCTCCTTCACGTCGATGGTGCCGCTGCCGTCGGCATCGAAGAGGGCAAACGCTTCGCGAATTTCTTGCTTCTGATCTTCAGTGAGTTCGGGCTTAGGCTCCACCTTTCTTTTCTGGCTGGTGGAGGCCACGTTTGACTTCTTGAAGCTGGAAGCCATCCTCTGGCGGCGGCGGCGGCGGCGGTTGCTACCTTAACGCTTGTTGTCACCGCGCTGGAGCTAAGGCGCCACCGCCAGGAACGCGGGCTCGGGGCCTCGGCTCATTCATTCCCAACCGCTTCCCTTGTGCGCCCCCAGGGAGACCCCGCTCAACTAAGCCCGCTCCATCTTCGAAATCTGACATACGTTAAAACCCACAGTTCCCTCAGTTATTACCGAGTTTCCACGACCTGAGAGACCTGAGCTGGTAGCCACCAGCCACTGTGGTCTTCTATAACGTGCTGGCACTTGTTCTTTCCAGGCCATTTGCCAGCATCCATAGGACCAGGTTTATAGGGTTATTTGGAAGTTTCTCCTCTCTCTTTTCCCATACAAATTAAAACAAACAAACAAAACAAAACAAAAAAACCCTCTGGGTCTGAGGTTACCTAAGGGTAAATTTAGGATAATCAAGATTGAGTTTGATCCCTTGTCATAAAATGCGGGGAAGGAGAGAATATTAAAAGTCACACCATGTGTTCAACTCCATAAATGGAAAACAGATAAAATGGAAAAAGTTATGTAGAAAATTTGTAGAAGTTTGTGTCCTGACATTACACTCAACAATGATAAAAATGTCACTAGCTTATTTGGCATACGCTGAAATATGAAATGCAATATCTGAATGTAAGATTTACTTTCAGTGTTTCAATTTTACGTGCTCAGTATAATTGCACTTGAGTGCAGTCATCATTTCATTCAGTAGGCTTTGATTTGGAGAGAGGGGGGCTGCAGTACTGTATTCTGGTATTCTGGAATTTTAAAAACTCTACCAGCATATTACTCTCACTGTTTGTCATCCAACTGGGGTTGTGCTGAAGCCCACACTCTGATTGCCCTGCTTCGGCAGTGGACACAGGAGGAGGTGATGCAGGGCATGTTGGGACTCAAAACTGCCTCCTGAGAACAAAGGGGCAAGAGGAAAATGGAAGCTTTTCAGGTGAAAAGAAAGAACAAATTCATCAGTTAAACCCATAAGGGAATTGTGTTTAGAATTGCTCTGTAGGTGCTAGGACTCAGCTATTTTTGTCTGACCTAAGGCTGGACGTCTTCAGGGTTTTCCCTTCACATAAAAAAATGAATGTTTCTTGCTAAAGAATTAAAAAGAATTCGAATAAACTATTGTTACTTTTGGTGGTAAAAAAAAAAAAGAATTGCTCTGTATTTCTTTAAACAGTTAAAAAAACCAGAAAGCAGACAATTGTAGCATTCTTTTTTTTAAAATAAACTTATTTATTTTATTTATTTATTTTTGGCTGCATTGGGTCTTGGCTGCTGCGCACGGGCTTTCTCTAGTTGTGGCGAGCGGGGGCTACTCTTCGTTGTGGTGTGTGGGCTTCTCATTGCGGTGGCTTCTCTTGTTGCAGAGCACCGGTGCATGGGCTTCAGTACTTGTGGCACGAGGGCTCAATAGTTGTGGCTTGCGGGCTCTAGAGTGCAGGCTCAGTAGTTGTGGCGCATGGGCTTAGTTGCTCCGCAGCATGTGGGATCTTCCCAGACCAGGGTTCGAACCCGTGTCCCCTGCATTGGCAGATGGATTCTTAACCACTGAACCACCAGGGAAGCCCTTACAAAGTGTTTTTAAAGTTAGTGATCAGATATTGTTTACATGACATGTTTAATTAGCCAGATCTCACTACCTGCCCCAGTCGATATGTGACATAATGGACAGAGGGCCTCGGCACAGGGTTTCTAAAGGTAAAATCACCTTACCTAGGACATTCCTCCCAACAACCCCCCTTCCCGGCACTTGTTGTGGATGGTGTCAACTCAAAGCAGGCTTTGGCAAGTAGACACTGCCATTGCCCATCTTCCAACCCTGTAAATCCTCCTGCTTTCTTAACCAGTCAAAAAACCTGGGATCTTATCTCAAACCTTATTATTTCTGTGACCCTGAGAAAGCCACTTAACCTCCCAGACTCAGCTGAAACTTCTGCAAAGCAGGCATAATAATAGAGCTTCGTACTAGGCTCCTGTGAGTGTTGAATGAGCTACGCCAGGGACAGTTACTACAGGGAGCTACTCCAGGGGCCATACAGGACTGGGTGATTCTTAGTTGAATCTGAATTCCTCCCAGATATTTTGCATTTCTTTTGACACCCACTATTCTGCCCAAATTCATGCCAAGCTATGATGTGTTGGGAAAAATTGAGGGATAGAAGCTGCTTTATATAGAGCTATATTTGGGCCAAGCTGAGCTCAAAGCAAAACAGTTGTCATAGTTTCCAGATGTGTGCAATCAGCAGTCACAACTAAGGGCCACCAAGAGCTCCCTTCGTAGAAAACAGCGCCCTCGGCCAGAGTCAGCTCTTGGTGGGGAGTTGTTACTTTATGTTCATAGTTTGTGATCTGATTTTAAAAAAGAAAGGATGCTTACACTGATTGTGTGCCTAGCACTGCGCTTGCTTCTCTCATCTGCTGTCTCATTTAATCCTTGTCATCATTTCTCATTTTGCAGATGGAAAAAAAACCCAAAAAAAACAGAGGCCCGGGAGGACCCGTCACGTATCCAATGGTGCACAGCCAAAAAACGGTGGCTCTGGGATTTAAACCTTGGCTGGTCTGAGTCTGATGCTGAATCTTCGTTCACCACACCATGCTGCCTTCTCCAGAAGTTGAGATCATTACCAAAATGCAGTATCACTGGGAAGAAGGGGGGTTGTTGGGAGGAATGTTCCAGGTAAGGTGATTTTACCTTTAGAAACCCTGTGCCGAGGCCCTCTGTCCATTGTGTCACATATCGACTGGGGCAGGTAGTGAGATCTGGCTAATATCTTTTCTTCCCTAAGCCTAACAGCAGTTAAGCATCTTGCCTAGAAAGATTTAACAGGATTTTGTGGGATCTCAGACAGGGTCCCATGCGGGGGTGAGTCACTGAAAGAAAGAGCAGTATGCCTGGACTTTTGTTTACATTTGTTCTTCAATTCTGCTTCACCCCTTCCCCTCTGGGTACAAGTTAGTGGGAAGCAGTCTGGGCAAAGTGTTTTTGGTTGGCATTAGTCAGAGTCTATATAATGCTGGTGAAAATCAGCTTCATTGCTTTAAAGTCATTTTTCAAGTTTGAAGAAGACCAACATAAAGTAAATGAGATGTTCTGATAAACCAATGGTTAGGAGTGGTTTGGTTTTGTTTTGTTTTCTACTCTAAACATTTTTTGTACCGCGATGTCCTAGGTAATATGCTAACTCAGTTGTTGATTATCTGAGATGGGGAGAGGAGGGAAGATAGTTGTTTAGATCTGGTCATGGAAGTTTAGCAGCTGGAAGCGGGGTGGGGAAGAGGTGCTAGAATTCCACAGCAGGGTCTGGAGTCAGCTGAGAGCAAGAGAAAGGACCCACACAGCTTGCTTATTCTAATTATTTGGTTTTCCATCTGACTCAAATGGCATGAAAAAGGTGAGGCTCAGGAACCTTTTAAATTTAAGTTACTCTCAGCAAATTCAAAAAATTCCAGGTGCCACCCAATGCAGAAAGCATGCATAATACAATTTCTTTATTGGTGCCTCTTTACCTTCCAACAAATGCGGAACAGAGAGAATGCCAATGCTTGATACTTCTGCATAAACAAGATAATGTGTGTGTGTGTGTGTGTGTGTGTGTGTGTGTGTGTGTGTGTGTGTGTGTGTGGGGTGACTCCAAAACCAACAATAACAGAATTAAACTATTTATTCGTGAATATGTGGAGCCATTTACAAGAAATGGACTCAGCATCAACAGTTTTACAATCCCGGTGGTCTCAGAGTGGGAATATGTAGTCCAGTCCAGTAACTCAACCCAAGCCTTTTTGGCAAGCCCAGGAACAGACTTAAGTGTCCAGCCAAGGACTACATAATTTCTCATTCCACGAACCCCAGAAATAAAGAAATACTCCTCTCAGATACAAAAGCAGACTGTGTTTTAGAAAAGAATTTACCAGAATCTCACACTGCTTCTCAAACTTTCACTCAGATACTCCTAATAGCAAAGGAGATGTAAAGCACTCCCTTGGGATCCAGGGAAACATTTGGAAGAAGCCTACAGCAAGAATGAAATGTCTATATGATCCTGTGTTTTGTCTTTTTAAAAAGTGAATTTTGCTTTCTGCTTCATTGCAAGTTTGCTGGTCTTAGTATAGTTTTAAATGACTGATCATCGAGGAAATTTGATTGCTTTCAAAAAAAATGCACTGTGCTTATTTGCTGACTTTAAGTATACCTCCAGGGGCTAGGAGAACCTTGCATGTTTTAGCAAACTTGGATCTAACGTGGAGTTTGCAGTGAAAAAAATAAAGATGGACAATGTTTCCCACTCCTACCCAACCAAGATCTGCTCCACTTATACATCATTTGGATTTAGGTGTCAAAGAAAAAGAAGGAAGGAAAAGTGTGAGGAGGAGAAGAAGGAAGATGAATGAATCGCCAGAGCATTTGGAACTTGAGAGGTGGGGCAAAATGAAATGCATCCATTGAAAGAATGGCTGCCCTCTCTTCCCAGAGTCCAAATCAGCCCAGCTTAAGCATTGCTTTGCTGGCAACAAGCTGAGAAAAGACACAATCTATGTTGACATAAATTCAAAGCAGAACCTCATGGGGTTTATGACCCAGAAGTTGACCACCCTGTAAGTAGTCTGCCAAGGGCCACCAAGTTAAGGCACACAACAGAAAATGCAGAACTAAGAGGACCCAGAGTGGCTTAGTTGGATTTTTAAAATATCTCATAGACTAAGCTATTGGTTTCCTCTTTGATCCACCCTTTTTCATTATCCAAGGCCCCTGAGACTTCAGTGTCAAAAGCTGAGTCCTCTGTTAACTAAGGAGAATTTTCTGCTCACCAGAGGCAGAAAGGTCAAAAGCCCACAGGGGTGTTAGTGGCACAGAATTAGCCAAGTGACCTGCATGTTAAGGGTATATTTAGGGATTAGCAGTGACCTGGAGAGCCTGTGCCCTTTTAAAAGACATTGAAATTCAAATTAAAAAAATAATAATAATAACTGTGCAGGCCCAAGAAAACAGGTCTTGTGGAATACAGGTCAGGCAGAACTTGGCCTGTTGGCTGCAGGTGTTTTTCCAGTCCTTGTATTGGTCACTGGGGTTCAAGCAGTAAGGACACTTCTCAGAGAAAAGGACAGAGCGAAACTTGAATTCTGGCCTCAAAACTACTCATGCCTAGTTCCTTTAGCACAGCATCAATATCT